AGAAGAAGAAGAAGAAGAAGAAGAAGAAGAAGAAGAAGAAGAAGAAGAAGAAGAAGAAGAAGAAGAAGAAGAAGAAGAAGAAGAAGAAACAACTACTTTCAACCACAGGGGGAATATCGCTATCACTGGCTTACCTGCAGTGTTTGCATTTTACTCCAAACATCATGCTTTTCTGACACACTTGGCACACCTGAGAGAGCCAGGATTTTGTCGAAAACCTGAATGAGAGGAAACAGAACACACCTATTGAAGACGACACTGGATTAAGGAAAGCAATATTATTGGTGAAAGACACACAGGCAAACTACAAGGCCACATATCAAAATAAAGGTAGTCCTCAACATACAACAGTTCATTTAGTGACTGTTCAAAGTTACAACAGCACTGAAAAAAAAAGTGACTTATGACCGTTTTTCGCACTTATGATCTTTGTGCCACTGAGCCACTGTGTCCCTACTGTACGGTAGTTAGTCTTGGGCATATATCTTGCATGTCTGCATGCAAACTGAACAAGTCACTGAACAGCCTCTGTAATGCTTATCCTGGGTGCTTTCAGGAAGGAGTTTTAATGTCAAACTAACCAATCAAAGCTGTTATTTTTGTGTGTGGGAGGGGGGGTTAGTTTGAGAGGCATCCAGGCAGCTTCCTCGGTTAAAGCAGGGCAATTAGGCAGAGTGTTGTTGGAATGTACCAACTCCTGCCACATCAACCTTAGGGGTTTCCTCCTCAAACAGAGGTGGGCTGCACCCGGTTCGGCTGAACCGGTAGTGGTGGTGGCGGGAGGCTCTGCCTACCCACCCGGATGCTTCTGCGCATGCGCAGAAGCGTCACGCGCAAGAGAGAGAGAGTGTGTGCGCGCACAAGCGAACCGATAGTAAAACGAGTACAAACCCACCACTGTCCCCAAAGTTTGTTGCGGACAACTCTACCCAGATGGCGCTGAGCATCCTCATCAACGTTGGAGTTGCACGTTCAGCCATCTGAAAAACTTACCTGTGTGTTACAGACAGGCCGATATCTCTTCGTACCGCTTGTGGAGATCCCTGGGGTAAATCTAGGAAAATAAAGATTTCAAAAAGTCGACATGTTAGTTGGCTCAAACGCCTTTTGTCAAATGGCCTGCAAGGCAGACGGCATGTCAATTTTGAAACGGATCTAGGCTACCACAGCTAACTTTTCATTTCTTAGCTTGCCATACTGTATGGGGTGGGATTGGGGGATGCTTGGAATGTCAGACTACATAATAACACCAGATCGTTCTGTGGGAACCAAGGTCCTCTCAACAAGTGCTGGCCAGGAGGAGGAGGAAGGAGTTGCCAGGGAGATGCCAGAACACCTAATTGGATAATGTGACCTGTGACGAGGAGGGAGGGAGGACATCTATTCTTTAATTATACTAAAACCGCAGGAAACAGAGTTGGTTTTGCTTTCATGTGTGCCAAAATGATGGACTCAATAAAACAGTTCTTTGAGAAGAAGTCTGATCGTCTTGGAGTGATGAGTTGGTTGGGTTCATCAGTCAGAAACTTGGCGCAGCCATTGAGATTGAAACAAAGGAGGCAGCTTTAGATGGCTCCTTTGGACTTTCTGGTACAAGTAATCCTCGACTTAACGATTCATTTAGCAACCAATGGATCTTGCAACAGCACTGGAAAAAAATGACTTTTAACCAATGCTCAAAACTACGACTATCGCAGAATTCTCTCTGGTCACGTGATTAAAATTCAGGTGCTTGGCAACCGTGGATTCATATGGTTGCAGCATCTCAAGAGTCACGTGATCATCATTTGCGACCTTCCCAGCCGTCTTCCCAAAAAGCAAAGTCAATGTCGATTAAGATTTGCTTAATGGATGCATGCTTCAGTTAACAACTGCAATGATTCATTTAACAACCATTGGGGGGTGGGGGAAGCTCATAAAATCAGGCATGAGTCACTTCACCGCCTTGCTTAGCAATGGAAATTCTGGTGCCAGCTGAGGTCGTAAGTTGAGGAGTACCTGTGCTCTATGTCAATCAACTAACTTTCTACTCAAGAAGAACAGTTTTTGTTAGCCTAGTTCACACCCAGTCACAGCACACGAAGAGCTGCATTCCAGAAGGGGATGGGGATAGGATAGCAATAGCTACACCATGCTTCCCTGAAAACAAGACCTGGTCTTATTTTCTTT